GAGAATTTCCAATAATACTGACCCAATTTCCTTTGGTTAACTCCAGCACTGAGGCAAACTAGAGATAGTGTAGCATTGTATCCTCTTTTCTTTCTGAGGTTTTGCTCCATTTCTGTGAATACCTCCTGTTCAGTGTGAATTAGAAGAATTTTTAGGTACCACTGAAAATACTAGCAAGATCTTTGTAATATGTGGTAGAAAAAGATTTGATAGTCCATTTTCCTCTAGCCCAAGAAGGTTGATGTTGTTTTTGTAAGTGATACAACATAGACACAGAAGTACCTCTCTGCTTTCTATACAGCAAAGGCGTCAAACACGTGATGTAGTCAGCCTGTTCCTAGTCTTGACTTTAGTCACTCACCACGTGTTAGAAATCACCTATAGACAGAGATGGGAATTGTTATTTGTCTTGGAAACCATTGCTGCTGGAAGAGGTTTACAGTCCAGTGTTACAGATCTGATTTTCTGGATTGTTAAGCTGCTGTTACAATTGGCAGATTATCATACTAACAGTTGGAACTATGTCCTCAAGAGTGTTGTTATAATCTAAATCTGCAGACACTCCTATTTTTGTATGATTAATGCTGGTGTAGATCTTAGGAGTTCATAATGCTGAACAGTGGGAGGTAACTATTTGCTACCCTGAGTGAGTCCCATCTGTTTTCTCTAGATCAGTATAAATTGTCTTTCTGCTTAGTCACTTGGAAGAAGCCATACTGAATTGTTTTTCTGGACAAAGGGAAGAAGAGAGAATGAGTTTTAGTTAAGCATATATTGAAAATTTAGTTATATATTTTAATTATTGTACACTTCAGTCTATAGGTTTGAGTCACTTGTGTCTTGTTGAACCTTACCTGTGTTAGTTCTCAAGACCATAAGCCCTGGGGCTCTGTTGGGTCAAGCACAGACCATAGCTTTCTTGAAGTGCAAGTTCAGTTCAGCTACATGCCAGAAAATTATTTTTCATATATAACCTGTAAGGAATTAGACTCTGGAAGACTTCTTTTCCTCTGGGAGTAGTTTGAGAACACAGAAGGACCTGAAATTATGATCAGGCTTTAAATCCTAATAAGAGCTAGAGGATGGTTAAGAGGAAAACAAAATCTTGGGAGGCTTTTGTCTTCAGCTAAAATATTCTTTGAAATTCAGAAATGTGGAACCATGAACATCAGCTAATAAGGCAATCACTGAAGAGCTGCAAGAAGAAACTACAAGCTGCAAAACTGTCAAGAGATTTTTCCATGTGACTGCAGAACCAAGCACGGTTGGAATTAGCCAGTAACACTGCCCATGCAAGTAACCTGGTGACCAGTGAAAGAAAGGAGCAAGGCAAAGCTACTTCCTATCGCTTTAGAAAGGTGTCTGGATGTGAGGAGGATACAAGCAGGCACTAATCCTGGTAGCAGATGAATCAAAATCTTGCCAAAGCATGTTTTATTCCTATCACTGGGCTGTCTCCTACAAGTTCCAGTGTCTGGTCTTTAAAAGTCCTTGGAACTTGCTGGAGGAAAATTTCAATTGGAGCTGAACACAGCATGTTGTATTTTGAGGCTTTGATTATTCTGGGTCTGACAGGCTCATGGAGATTTCATTGCCTCTGGGCAACATCTGCAGCGAAGCCTTGTAACAAAAGGATTGAGTGGCCTCACAGGGCTCCTTGATAGCCTGTATTGCATTAGAAGGAAGATGTGGTTACGTAGTCAGGGTAATTAATTAGCATTTCCATAAGCAGTCACAATTCCTGTTAACCTTGTAAATGCAGGAGACAGGAATGAAGCACAGATGTGAGGGCTCTGAAGATAACTCTGCGTGTGTGTTCACTTGATTTTGTTGATGAGCTCCACTAAATTCTTTCAAGATCAACCTTAATTTAGCATGGTTAAGGATGCAAATACACCCAACATCTGTTCACGTCTCCATGGCAGCTCTTTGGCGACCAGTGCTACAGCAAGATCTTAAAATAAAACAATACAAAAAAAACTGCCACACTGAAGGGGAAGGCTGTTGGTCAGAAGTAAGACATGGAGCTGGCCGAGGAAAGATAGAGGTCCCTGGAATTTGCCTACTTCAAATCAAATGTTAGTTCTGGTAATGAAAGCTGCATCTTGCCTGCAGACTAGGTCTCATCTCAGATTTTCTGCTACTGGATGTCAAGTTTGCCCTTATCTGGCTGACAATAGTCATTCTTATGCAGGGAGCCTCATTTTCTGGTGAAGTTTTATGTCTGTTCACCCCCTCATCTGCTCCTCACTTTTTTCCTTCTCCATTGGCTTTCTTGTTCTTTTGTCATGGTCATGTGGGGGACTTGTTTCCCCTTGAAGCACCATTGCTTTTCCTCCTGACTTAAGAGCCATCCCCTGCCAAAATAAAAAAACCTGCCCGGTGTAAGTGGTTGTAGCTCTAAGTAGCTCTCAAGAAGCTTGCTTTTCTGTTCCTGTGGCGAGTTTGTACCGAGTGCAGGTACATATTATATTCAGAGTCACGTCTCCTAGTATTTATTAAATACAAGGTGTAATGAGCCACAAACAATTAAATGAGAGTCAGTGGCTGGTGTCCTGGGCTTAGAGAGTGACTGTCCAAAGACCTGTTGTCTTCTCATACTCCTTTGCTCAGAGGACAGAGCTGTAGCTTCATCACAGAGGTAAGAGGGAAATTATCCTAATGGCTTCATTCAGAATAGTTCTGCTGGTGATTTTGAACAAGGAAGTAGAAAATAGATGCCAGAAGAGGCTGTTCTTTACCCTGAATCTTGAGTTAGAAATATCTAACGAGCAACAGGGTAAGATGGGGAGAGGACAGCTCAACCCTGTTTTCCTGTGTTCCTGAGTCGTTTGGCTAGGCTCTTCCCATGGCATAATTTTTTAATTATTTTTTTATTTTCCTTCTCTGTCTCTAAAGTGGGAGCCCTGGCTTGGTTAAAGCTGAGAACTCTTGTGTGTCTTTCTGTTGCCTCTGGCGCCACAGAAGTAATTGGTCGATGATATTAGGAGTCTTGTAACTTTCAAAGCTGTATATCTTTCCTCTTTTATAAGCTGGCAACAGATGAATTTTAGGACCTTTTAAAAAAAATTATTTAGAACTTTGGAGCCAGTGGGGCTCCTGTTTGTGCCTTACAGTGATCATGTAAAATAAATGTCATGTTAGCACAGAGTGTAGAGGAAAATGGGAAGGGGACCAATAATGCCTAAGGGGCAAGAAAAGCTTACCCGTTTCTTCGCTCAGAGTTTGGGTTGGGGGATTTTCTGATGGCATGTCTCTGTCTCCCTGCTGCAGCAGTCATCTCCGCTTGTCAGAATAGGCTGCTTCTAGCTTAGTCCTGTGCTCAGCAGAGTTAATTCTGTTTTGTGGGTTTGTTTTTTTTTTCCAAATCACACTGGGTCTGATCAGTGTGACACATCTCTGCAGCTTTGCCTTCCACAGGGTTCTGTTTGGTTTAGTCTCTTGAGCAATTTGGAAATGCAGAGTATTCCATGTACACAAGCACAGGCTTGGAAATGTGGAAATACCACTGCGGGTTGAGCTATCTCTTCAGTCATTTTTCAAGAAACGCATTTTAGGCTTAGACCAGCCTAAGCTGTAGTCCAACGCATCTAGGCCGTGCTGCTCTGTCAGTGTAGCTGTGGTAGGACTTTAACTCGGAGATAAACGACAAATTACTCCTTGAAATGAGACATTTGGAAATCAATCGTGACTAGCTTTAAACTCTGCAGCCTACACTGGTGCTACAGCTGCTCCTGTTACTCAGTCTTTAGCAATAGACCACACCACACAGCAACCAGCACTGTGTGCCTATATCTGTAAGGTCTGTGCCAGGCTCTGACTGCTCCGTTGAGCTACTGACAGATGATGACAGAGTTCATCAAATCACATCATCACCACTAATGCTAACGAATAAGGAGGAGGAAAGAAACACCTTGTTCTGTTGGTGAGCTCTACTTAGTACAGCTTAGTCATCTGTGTAGAAGAGATGTACTATGTACACTTACTCATCTCCTATGTAGAGGTTGGGCCAGACTTCATTGACGTGAGTGTACTTAGGGCATCCTTTCCAGAAAAGTCGCTCCAATTCAAATGCACCTGGGGTACAGTAATCCTCATCAGGATCTACTTTGATTGCTGTGTATGCATTTTTCTTCATAGCATTCAAACCTGCTGATGACATCTTGTCCATGGAGTAGTGTGCTCAGGATATGCCAGCAACTGGAATGCAACCAAAACAGAACGTTAATCTGAGGAAGCACAAAGCAAGTGAGTTCTGCTCCAGTTGTGGGATGCTGGGAGCAGCACTGGCCAGGTGTGACTGGGCTGGGCACAGTATAAGAAGGATGTACCTGCCCTGTGGCAAACACACTCACACCTGGATTTCTGCCTCCCCTGAACTAGGCAAGGAATACTTTGTTGGATGAGCTGATCAGCAATGGGAACAAAAGCCAAAGGTTTGTGATCACTGAAGTTCAGCCTCAACTAGGAACATTTTCTGGTAAATCCACTGGTAAGAATTTGGTAGGTCTAGCAGCCTGATCCAAGGGATCTAGAGCAGCTAGGGGAACTGAGGCAGAAATTTAGGATGCTTCTTTATCATTAATTGTGAATCTCCTAAAGGTTTCTCCTTTATGTGATTTTCAGCAATGCAGGGAGATTAAATGTGTGCATTCACATGAATGCTGGGTCTACCTGTTGTACTCTTTCACGATCTTAATGCAGCCCCGCGCACTGAACTTCGTAGACTTTCTGCAGGAATGAGAGTTTGTCTTTTTGCAGCACCGTCTGATTGACAAAATATTTTTAGCCAGGATGGGCTCAAGGACTTCCTTCTGTTTGGGTTTACTCTTTTTTTTTTTTAACCTAGATGCATACATGCCAAGTGAGTAGGAAGAAGCACTGATGAACATACAGAAGGGAGCAATGGAGTAATGTCATGTTGTAGCTAAAATCAGAGTATTGTTAATGTTGCCAAAACCAATATGCTTTGCCTGGTTGTGCTGTCAGAGCTATGTTGCTCAGAACTGACAACCTTGATGCCCTGTGTTTGAGCCCTCTGCTAGTATTGAATCCTTGGCATCAGCTTTACATGTCTCTTGAAGCTCCAGATTCTCTCCTGCTTGCGGTGATTTCCTCAGCTGCTGTCCTGATTGAGGCTTTCCCCTGTATATGTTGCCTCCCTCAGCTGTGGAGTCAACAGTTACAGCCCAGTTAGGTGGTCTTCCTCCTCCCTCACTGTGCTGAGGCTGTGCCTTGCTTAGGAGCTGAGCACTCTGGGCACTGGCAGGCGAGCAGCAGGAGCTTGGAGAGCAGCCTAGAGTTGTCACAAACCTGGTGAGTGAAGTTAAAGGCCAGACACTAACTTGAGTCTCGACACCTTCCCCATCCATACCTTTATGAAGACACTGCTTTAGGACATGGCAGGTAACTATAGGTTTGAAAGAATATTCTTGTCTCTTGGACAAGTGGGTTTTTTGCATCTTGGGTAAAAGCCCAACAAAATACCTGTGATACAGAAACCTTTGCACCAGCAGCAACTGTTCTAGCCACTGCAGGTGCGATACAGCTGCCAGAGTGCAATGCTGTGCTCCTTAGCTCAGGTGTGGTACTGCACTGACCTGTGGTGTCCCCACACATACAATGTTGGGTGTGTTTGGGTCAAGAGGTTTTCAGATTTTTTTTTAATTTTTTTATTACTTGAAGAAAATTTTGCCGGGAGAGAGCTTATGTACAGTACATCCATGTATTGTCAGTAAAGAAGATACAAGGAAGTGATTGACAAGTGATAAAGGTGAAAGCTTTTCAGTCCAAATTAACAGCACTAGAAACTCTGCACACTACCAGACAAATACTTGTGTCATAGATCCAGGCACAATGTCAGAGAAGGATTGTTGTGAGGGACATGTGTGTTGTAATGTCTCCTTTGGTTTTCTTCTATGGATTTGCACGTTTCTGAAGGCAAAGCATATTGTGTTCTGCAATTTGTCAGCAGGTTTTTTTGCTCGTGCAGCTCATCTTTATGCCACAGCAAACCCCTAGGAACTAGAATTTGGGGCTTGCCATGTGCCTGACCTCCTATTTACCCTGTTGGCAGTTGTCACTTCACCATGTTCTCCTCTTGTCCTCTGAGAAAACTTTCCCTTTTCCCATGTTTCCAGCCTTCTGCAGACTTTGTCTGCTCCATTTCCCTGTTGGGTCTCTCTTGTTTCTCCTCCTGGACTCCCTGATGTCTCAGGGCAGGAATTGCTCCTGTCTCTTATCCCCTTGAAGGGAAAACTTGAACCTTGCAGTTCTGTAGGAGACTTGCAACAGGAAGAGGTGGAGTTGGGCTTGGTTTTATGAAGTGTGCGAGTATAGCCTGCCAAAAATCCACCTTTCTTGCAGGCGACAAATCCTGTAGTGGCTCCCACAAATTTTTTTGTATTGGCCACTGGTGACGTTTGTGTCCTTTTAATTACAAAAATCTGGCTAGTGCCTTCATGCAGCTGTTGTAGAGCTCTCCTGCAAGCAGGATGACCATTTTTCACTGACATCCTGCATACCTGTGGGGTTTGTTTCTTCAGTTTGGGCTCTTTTGTGCCTGTCATGTTCTGTTTCTCTGCAAAACTTGAAAAAGCCAAATGATTTCTGTTTTCCTACTCCAAAGCTAGGCAAGATTGCGAAGCCGGTTTTTGTTTGGCATATGTACACCTTTGTTCAAAAATTGGCTTGTTTTCACTGGCAAGGGGATCTATCTTTCAGCCAAGCTTCCTAAAACGTGATGATGATGTTTAGCTAAGTGGCCCTCTGTTGAGATTTGTAAAGGCCTCTGAGAATTCCAGCTTCTAGCAAATTTACCTTAGGCTCTGTTTTTCCGTGCCTCTGAGTAGCACCAAGTCCCATCTCTGTGCCCCCAGTAGCCATTCCCCAGGAGAGCCTTTTTCCTTCCCTGTACCAGAATTATGCTAATTCTACATGCAGACTCAACAGTGCAGATAATGTTAGACTGTCAGAGATACGAATCTAATGCAGTCTGACTTTGGGACTGAATAGGCTGTTATCTAGAACTTGATAAGAACTGCTATTTGTCTAGTAAGGAATTATCTTAACAGAGAGCCTGTTGCCTTGATGCTGGAGGACTGAATGTGCTTTCTGTTCACAGCTCCATAAAATGAGAGGAGAGGAAACAAAGGATAGAAGAGAAAGCAAAGTAATCAGTAATCCCTCGGTGGCTGCAGCATATTGATTTATTACACCAATAGTCCTGCTCATAGCCTGCAGACCTCAAAACAGGGCAATTACATCTGCAAATGATCATTTGTGGTATTGTAACACCGGCTCAGTTTGAAGCTTGGTTAGCACTCTGAAAGTTAGACCTCTGGTGAGGAATACTCATTTCTGTCTGTCCTGGGAAGTCATATGCTCCCTGAACTTTCCAGTAAGCTATGTTCTTTTATGCCTTGCCAATGCTATCTGCTGTGGAGATTTTAAAATTGGATTAGAGCACAGGAAAGCATCAGTTGAAATTCCTCTAATAAAGCATGTATTTCAGTTTCGATTCTAGACTTAGGATTAACAGAGTTTAACTAGGAGGAGGAGAAGGGGGGGAAAAAGGGGCTGGTTTGCTACCTGAGCTCTGGAATTAATTGCCGTGAAGCATTTGGTTGGGGGAGAAGGACGGAGAGTCTTGTGTTTTTCCAGGAACCAAAGATGTCTAACCTCATCTGGTATCGACTACTCTGTGTGCACCAAACGGAGCTGAGGGATGACTGTTCCCTAGGCCTGCCCTCTCAGATTAAAAAGTGAAAAGCGGATTGGATTTTTTAGTTTTTTTGTGGTTGTTCTTAATGCTGTTGTGGATTTAAGGATGACTGCTTGTCTATATAAGGATGACTGTCTAGCACTAGCCCAGGCAGGGAAAGCTCAGATTTCTTTTGCAGACCTCTGAAGAGGGCAGACCGTCCCCCGCAGGGTGTTCACCCGGTGCAGTCGGATGGCAGACAGATTGCAGAGTTACCCCTGCACAGACTCATAGGAGCAATCTCCCACTCCTTGCACTGCTTCATTTGGGTTAAAATGCTGTGCATTACAGAGCAGTTAGTGCAGGCTTACTGATGTACCAGTGCAGCTTTTCTGTACCAGCTTGGCAGTCACTTCATGGCACTGCACTGTGCTGCAGACACACGACCTTGGCTGTGGAGCTTTCTGAGGTAGGGACGGTCCTCATGCCCTTTGCATAAGGAACTCTGCACCCTGCTTGCTCCTTAAAGTGCTGCTCCAGCACAGGACAGCCCTTCTTATTTCATGGGGGAGCAATGAAGAGGAGAGTCAGCTAGTGGGAACTG